ACTTCATGAATTTAAGTGTTAATGACTATTATTCACAAATATGCACATCATCTGTATCCCGTTGAGGGCCATCACTGAACTACTGGATCAAAATGATATTGGCCCCTTCATCTCAGAAAAACAAGTTCTCTATTTTCAGTGAATTCTATCACCTAACAGGGTCCAAAGGTCATTCGGTATTGCCCTTTCAGGCAAAATGAGCCAAAACCCCTCCAGAAAATTGGTTGTTTATCCGCATCTTAATAACCATTAAAGAAAGAGATTTCACAACCACGTACTATGTAATGCATTCCAGCAACTCATAGTTCCAAGTCTGGATCCCTATTTGTAACTATGAAGTAGACTTGAGGTTAAGAAAATGTTCTTCTTTTTTCATAACATTAAGTGTCCTAATAAATTGCAATGTGTTGTCAGTAACAAATGATTTCTGGCTTGGAATATGGTTATTTTTGTAAGAATCTCCAGAAAGTCCCAAATTGTCATCTAGTATTTAAAATTGAAATACAATGTCATTCAAACACATCACTTCAACTTATTTCTTTTTGGCACTCCACAGAAAAGTTTTAATTAAATTGTGTCAACTTGAAAAGTAAATGAAACAGATTTGACAGTAACTTCATTTTGTTTGTGTTTTCACGAGAATTAATAGCAATCAGTTAACTTTGGCTAATAATCTTCGAACTAAAATAACTAAAAGAGTATTTCCTGGTTAAGCAATCTCACCTTTGAAATTTCTTTTCTTCAGTCTGTTGTAAATTTGCTAAGTAATAAACCAAGGAATGATGTGTTTATTTGTCATCTTCTCAAAAAAGCTTTTCCTGACCATACTTTGACAATAACCTCAACTCTTGATTTCTGTATCTCATTAATCTGTCTTCTTTTCACCATGGTTTGATTATTTTCTGAAATAATTTTATTTATAAATTTCTCATTGCTTGATTTTTTACCTGTCCCACTTGAATGTAAGCTTTTTAAGAGCAAGGACTCTGTTTTCATTCATTACTGTGTTCCCATTACTTATAAGACAGATTTGCACATGGGTGCTCAAAAATGTTTGTTGACTGAAAGAATGAATAGTGCCACTTACCACTGATGAGGAGGTAGAGAAATGAAGGTGGTGGTGAATAAACTTAACAGAGGAAAAGGACAGAGGTATATTGGTTTATTACTTATATATATAACTGTGATATTGACATATTTTTACAAGAGAGCATGTTAGGAGCCAGAAACCACATGTTGAGGATGACTGAATTATTCCCCTCATCAATCTGTAAATGGAATTCCTTGAACAATGTGTAGAAGAATTCTGTAAGGAATTACGCTAAAAAGAGAGATGTCTGAAATGTTGGCAGTTCTCTATTTGGACTAATAAAATGGATCAAAATGACGTACAGCAGGGTGTTGAGTATTGATGCAAATGGGGTTACTCCAATGCCTCCAGCCACGCAGAGGCTAACCTCATAGTTTAGTGATTCCTCAAATGGACTTCCAAATGGGCCATCGATGTACAACCTATAGAGAAGGGCAGACAAAGGTGGGAAAAGTAAAAATACGTTCCTTTTTTATAACATGTAGCAAACACGCTGAATACAATTTCTACGCTTTGTGATGGCTCAGGCTTTATTCCATTGTTTCTCATAGTGATAAGCCCAGAGGAATGTTGTTTATGAATTGTCAATATTAAAGCAAGTACATCTGTTTCTAAGCATGTCTTTTTTGTGTGAAACATTAATTAAAAGTATAAAGAAATGTAAATAGGACCATGCCACATAGCTAAGGAAAAGTTAAAGCTCTGGTCATATTATATTAATATTAGTATATTTGACTAAATTAAAATACCAATTGCTGTATGTAAATTTGATAAATAATGTTCCCTTCAATGGCCAGGTTAGTAGCTGAAATATTTACTTAAACATTTACTATGCGAACAGAAAAATAACAGGAGTAAGAAAAAGAATCTAACACTATTCCTCCTCTTGTCCTACTTAAGTTCAATAAGTACAAAAACAGCTGAAGAACATTCACAAAGGAAGCTCTACTTGTTCTTATATATTCAAATATATGTGTGTTTGAGAACTGCAACAGAAATTGCTAACTGTTCACTCAATATTCATGTTTCTTTACCCATTACTCCATACCCATTCTTTCTTAGTAACAAGACATTGATGTTATTCAGGGAAGCAAAATGTCCAGCCAAAATACTCTACTTCTCAGACTCCCTGCACCTATTAATATTTTGGCTATGTGACTATGTTCTGGCCACTGGCCCCTCTTTCCTACTGGTTGGCTTTCCGACCCACACACCCCCATACAGACCCTTCCAAGAATGCCCACAAAGCTATTCTTTGGTGTTTTGAAATAACTTTGGACAAGTATACTAAAACATAGAGTTCTCGTGATTTACTAGGGGACAGATCACAGACAAGTTCCTTGTCCTCTCCACAGCAGATTTCCTTCATCTGTAAAAGAGTCAACAAAATGTGATGACACAGAAAAACTAAGAATGGTGGAGGGCCACACAAATATCACAAATGCTTTTTGTCAATGGCACCAATGAGTGCCTACAGTGCACCCACCAGGCCGTCTGAGAGGGCAGCATCAATGCAAGCAATGGGTTGAGTTCAGTATGAGACAGGACGTGTAGACAGGAATTTGGTTTGAAAGACCTTAGAGAATCAGCTGTTTTTCATTTGAAATGCTTTGCTGCACCAGGTGAGATAAAATTTTGCTTTTCTTAGAGGAAGCATAAAGATGAAATTACTAGTAATTGATTACTTGGCAACATCTGGTTTTTCGAGGAAGACAAACTACTTAAATTATTTTTTACATACTTAATCTGATTAATGTGCAAAATAAATTGCCTTTCATTTATGAGTAGTGACTTTCTCCTTATCTTAGTACAAGGTCTTTGAAAGAATGTTATGTTACTATTACATGTGACAAGATTACAGAAATTGAAGGCAAATTCAAAGTCTTTGAATAATGTAGTGGAGATAAGATCAACTTGACACATTTTTAAGTTTCAGTTGATGACTAATGAAAAGATCCTTTATGAAAGATTGTGGATCTAAGAGAGTTCTAAGAATAAGAGAGATCCCTTTCCCTGACCCACCCCAAAATAAACATTTTTTTGAAATTTTAATAACTTTTTTCTCTTGAGGGAATTTATTAACATTTTATAAAATCGATTTGTTTTAAGACTGATGAGTTGATA